CAGACACTGAGGACAAACTGTACCCCTGGCTTTGCTTGGGCTTCCTGGCCTTACGGCTGCTACACACCAGGTCACAGCATCCCAGAAGGGCCTGCAGCCCACAGCAGAGTGTGTACCTCAGTATCCTCTCCCCTCTCAGCAGGGCCTGCAACATGAGCATCCCTAATATGTGCAGTGTGCTGAGGACAACCAGAACCTCCCCGTCGTGGTCCAACTTGTTGCGAATCGTCTCAGAGGAGAATTTCTTTTGCATCTATAAGTGAATCTCCTCGGTGAGCCAGATCAGCCCATGCGACTCCCAGTGGGCACTCTGTATCCACTACAGGCACCACTACGGGCCCAAGAATGGGTGGAGTGACTTCCAGACTCACCGCAAGGTCGTGGGCCTTGTCACCATCACCGACTGCCTCTTGGACAAGACATTCGAGAAGCTTCAAGTGCAGAGGAGCTGTATGGCACCACATTCTACGACAATCAGCTCGTTGCCTTTGGGCTTCATTGGGAAGTGGTCAAGCAGCCGCCCACTGATGTGGCCTTCAACCTATAAGGCCTGCAGAGTGGTGGAGAAGAGGGTCGAGGACATCATTGATTCAGTCTTCATCATGCTCGTGTCCAAGAGCCTGGACGGGGCCCCCAACAATTCTAGGGAGAAGATCCCCCACCCCTGCATCCCGTTTGAGAAGGAGGACTTGGTGGGACTGGACACAGACAGCAGATAAGCCTACCTGGAGGCCGGCTACCCTGGCTGTGTGCCGGGTTGCTTCCCTACATCCAGAAAGGGATTGGCAAGGAGGAGGGCTATCTTGTAGCCAAGGGGGGAGGGAGGAGCAGCCCGCCAGTCTTCAGACATTTAAAAGTGAATCCGCCTTTGTTTCAGAGAGATCCTTTTAGGGTTAGAGTGGACACTTACTCTCCCTTTTCAGCCAGGACCCCTGGTGGAACCCCTGGAGTTGCTGTCCAATAGAGTAGCTACAGCCACTGATGCTAGGAGCACTGTGGGTTTCTAATTTTTGCTTGTTCCTCTTTTTCTCTTTTTTCCGTTTTTCTCGGATCACCCTGTGAGCATGTTGTTGGGTTTGAAAATGTGATCTGTGCACACCGTGCATTGGAAATAGCGAGATTGCTTGATTCATGTATTATCTCAGTCATGAATTTATCTTCTAAATTTTTGGAATTTTTGCTTTGTTAACATATAACCTGCTGGTGTTTGATACCTGGTAGAATCCTTGCTTTGAGAAACATGTTTGGTCCTCCTTACATTTGGTGAAAAATTAGCTCTTATTAATTTTGTTTGTTTTGAAGAGGTGAGATGTGAACTGATTTAAGCGGCTTCTGAGGGATGTTTTTCATGGGCATTTTCACTTGGAAAGTCAAAGTCTGCAGCACCTTGCGTGATTCTGGCTTTTACACAAACGTGCTCGGCATGCGGTTCCTGGCTGTCGCTGTGTGACATGCATGACGGCGCTGCCTGGCCGGCGGTCACTGGTGAGGAAATGGTGGGCTAGGGGGTGAGCAGCTGCAGGGGACGCTGTTGGAGGAAGCAGTCACTGGGTTTTCTTTTTCTTTTGCCTTCCCCATGCCATTTACTTTACTTTGTCCTCGTAAAGGGGCAGAAGCGGGTCTAAAATCCATGTCACTATTTTACTGCCTTTATGAGGCTGGTTTCTCAGAGTATCAGGACAATGTGGCCTTCAGTTAAGTAGCTGGCTCACCTGGATCTGGTGGACACAGGGACCACTAAAGGGGACAGTAGCTTTCTCTCTGCTTCAGCCAGTGGACATTCAGAGCCAGGTCTGTGGTTTGCCTCAGCAGCCGTGCAGGCTTCCCTGCATCGGCCTTTACTTTTAACTCATTTTGGCAGTAAATAGCTGACTCCGTGTCTGTTGCAGCTGACGTCCACCACTGACGGCCGTGTCGTTAGTTTGCGGTAGTGAGACACCAATATCCAAGTCAGCCGTGGAGGTAGATGCTTTGACCCACCTAGGACCTTGCATTTTCACACCCCAAGCTGGTTCATCTCACCTGGGGGAAGGGTTTGACCACCACCTTCATGCTGGTCATGAGACCTTGTTTCTCCTTTCATGCTCTGGTTCAAATGTGGACACTTCATCCTTTACTGACTTGGTCTCGCTTCAGACAGGCCAGACATTCTGAAAGAGTCCATCACAGTCTGGGAGGGAACAGAACAGAAGTTAAGTGTCACAAGTAGAAGGAATCTAGGCTGTCCGAGTTGGAAAAAGCAGGCTGGGATCTGTGATGGCTGGGCTGTGCCCTGGACACAGGCCTTTCCCGTGGCTCCCAAGAGCCCAGGGGTCGGAGTGAGAACAGCCTTGCCTGGGTTCCTCCATCCTCATCTGCTCACTGGCATGTGTGTCTGTTAACCAGAAGCTCCCCAGACCTCAGGCCCTTCAAAGTTCAGACCACGGGAGAACATTGAGTCACTTCTCCTGGGCCTCCTTTATGAGAATCCAGTGCCTTCTGAGGTGACCCATGCCAGGAGATACCTCCCACTTCAGGGAGCACCCTTCGGAGGACTGTGAGTCACTGCACCATGCTGTGAGTTTGTGGGGTTCCGGCCGTGGTCCCTGCAGAACCAGACTTGAGATGGGCTTAG